AAAAAAAAAAAAAAAAAAAAGAAAAGAAAAGAAAAAAAAAAAAGATCCAGGTACAGACTGGAATGTATACCATTTTAACAAAGAGTGATAAGTTGTAGGGTAGTGACAAGACAAGGGAAAGAGGTTTGGGCTTCTACGAACAGTAAAATTGTGGGAAGGTAAACATATGCAGAAAACTAATGGAATGTAATAGTTATTTAGTAAGGATTGTAGAGAGAACTTTTCCTGCATCTGCTCTTTCTTAATTGCCTTTAGCTCAAAATAATCCATGTGCCAAATGGCATATTGTGGGTGACTTACCTGATCTCCTTCACTAGATTGCATGCTGCTTAGAAATCACTGCACACTCCCGCCAGCAATATATACAAAGCCTCACTTATCACATTATCTCTACTATTTGATATTGTCAGACTTAATTTTTTTCCCCATTCAGATAGATATAAGATGATATCTTGCATATTTTCATTCTCTTAGTGAAATCAAGCATCTCTTTGTCAAAGGACAAAACCAGAAAATTAGACAATATTGTGAAAAGTTATCTCACATAAATATATAAAAATACAGTTAACCACAAATTGTTTTATAGATTCATTGCAGCCGCAATAAAAATCCTAACAGTTTTTATGGAACTTGAAAAGATGACTCTAATCGAATATGGAAGAGCAATGGGCTAAGAATAGCCAAGTTATCTCTGAAGAAAAGTAAGGAGAGGACCTGCACTGCTACATATGAGAACTTATTATTAGCTCTAGTAATTAATAAGATGGTATGGTTTTGGTATAGACACATACAAATTGATGGAACAAAATAGCTCAAAAATAGACCCATACATATACAGTTAGGGTCTTCATATCTGTGAGTTCTACATCCATGGATTCAGCCAATCCCCAATCAAAAATATAAAAATACCCCATAAATATATACACCTGCTAGGTACCCAGAAAAATTAAAAATTAAATATATGTAAATAACAATACAACAATAGAAAATACAGTATAACAACTATTTACATAGTGTTTACATTGTATTACATACTATAAGTAATCTAGACAGAGATTATTCAAAGTGTACGGGAGGATATACATAGGGTTATAGGCAAATAGTACACCGTTTTATATCAGGAACTTGAGCATCTGCAGATTTTGGTATCACAGGGGTTCTGGAACCAATACCTTACATATACTGAGGGATGACTCTGTAGAACTAGAATATGTGTTAGCAATGACTTGCAAACTCTTTAACCCAGCAGTTCCTCCTTTTGGAATTTTTCCCATGGAACCCTACAAGTATATAATGTTAAATGCACAGTATGTTTAATTGTAGTACTGCTTGAATATTGAAAATCTGCATTGAAATGTTCATCAATAGGGTGCTCCTCAAATTATGATATATACATACTGAGTATTATGTGGTTGTTAAAAAGTATAAGGAGGAGCTCTAAATACTGACATGGAAAGATACATTATTCTGTTAAGTAAAGCTAAGGAATGCACGCATGCATGTGTGTGAGGATGTGTAGGAAAAAGGCTGAAAGGATGTACATGAAGTTGTTAATAGTGATTATATGTGGTGAAGGAGTAGGGCTTTTATTACTGGTTTACATTTTTTTAATTTGTTTTACATAGTAGAAAGTAGCATATACTTTTTCAAAGAGTTAAAATTTTGAGAATATTTAAATGACAGGTTTTAAATAATAAGTCTATAAATAGTTTAAGATTGTTAGAAAAGATAATGTCCCTTGTGGCCATTGTTCATGATAGTTCAAAATTGGACTATATGAAATATAGGGCTGGCTCATTACAAAGGTACTTTTCTACAAGTTTTGCAGGGAGGTGTATGTAAGTGTCTTTTTAGCTTTCTGACAGTAACTATTTAACAGTAATAACAGTAACAACTATTGTTTTTCCTACTGCATAGTCCATAGTTTAGTGATTTGTGATTATGAAGCTAATATTCTTAAATTTAGAGCTTGTGAAATTTGATGAGTAACCAAATTCTTAGAGAAAATGAGATTCTCAGAAGAAAGGAAGGCTGACCAATTAGTAATAGCTTATCCCATGAAAATTAAGATTGATTATTAATTTAATTAGTTGAATTGATGAGAATACTCATAAAAAAACCAATAGCTTATTTAACTCTTACTTACCTGATAATTTTTTTAAATTCTAGATTCCTGTTCATCCTGTACCCGATCCCTTAGTTCATGAAGTCCTAAACTTAGCTTTTAAGCACTTTAAACATAAGGAAGGGTAAGTAAAATATTAACTTGGGATTGTTGCCTCTTTTTACAATCCAGGTCTAGACTATTTGAATTCTTATTGATAATTTGTTTTGAGAGTTCAAGGCAATTATCTTTTTTTTTAAGACAAGGTTTCACTCTCACCCAGCTTGGAGTGTAGAGATGCAATCGGGCTCACTGCAGCCTTGACCTCCTGGGCTCAAGTGATCTGCCCAACTCAGCCTCCTGAGTACCTGGGACTATAGATGCACACCACCACACTCTGCTAATTTTTGTATTTTTTATAGAAACAGAGTTTTGCCATGTTGCCCAGGCTGGTCTTGAACTCCTGGGCTCTAAGCGATCCACCCGCCTTGGCCTCCCAAAGTGCTGGGATTATAGGTGTGAGCCACCGCCCCCAGTCCCCTTTTCTTTTAAATCCACACAAAAAGCCGATAAGAAAGATTTTGTAAAAATAATTCTTAGCACTATAGATTGGATATATAAGAACCAGAAAATTAAATATCATAGTATAGTAAAATTAAAGATAGAATAAAATTAGTATTGCTTTTATCATATAAATGAATATTCAGAGAATATTATATAATATTCTGATAAAGAATTTTCAAATGTATTAGACAAGAGAGTTTGTAGAAAAATTTAATGAAATGTTATGTTTGTTCTTTGTTATTTTAGATATTCAGGAACCAACACTGGGAATGTGCATATTATTGCAGACTTATATGCAGAGGTGATAGGGGTTCTTGCCCAATCAAAGTAAGTTTTACAAATCACCCATTTAGATTTTCTTTGTATCTTAGAATGCTTCATTGCCAGCTCATATAGTAGATACCGATAGTATTTTCTTCATAGCACTAGGTTAGCTTCACCTTTTGTTACTTTACTGCTCTGTTTCTCAGATTCTCTTTAACACTCATACCTCAATTTCACCACTTGTTTTCATTTTATTTGGGGTTTTCCATAAATGTCTGAATCGAACAAATCAGAAATTACCAACCATAGTTAGGATATTATCTTTCCCCTTATTTTTAACAATACTGTTAGAAGCTTTTTTTAGAACTCTTTACATAGCTAATAATCACTTTCCAGGTGAGAAGTTTTATTCCTCAGATAGCAATGCAATGTTTTCTAATGATCTTACTTGTTTTAATGCTAAACAGAGTTTGAGTTGGTAAAAGAGACACCAAAAAGGAAAAATGAAAGATACTAGGTTACTCAATTAAAAGTGTGATTTATTAGGAGTTATACACATTGAGTTGCACTGAACCATCATTTTAGTAAACAGTGAAATATGTTTGTCATTAGCAACTTGTGGTTGCTGTAAAAATTATGGAAGATTTTGGATTTCCTTTGTTACTACTGGGAAATTTTGTAAGGAAAAAAGTATCAAATTATATTTTCTTAGATATAATTTTAAAGAGTCTTTTAAAGAGTCTTTGGCTCTGAAATCATCATATAAAAAGCAACCTATCTAAATTCTAAGAAGGCAAGTACAATTATTGTTAACGTTTAAGTAGTTTGTATTTTAATATTAGATGAAATATTTTATTTAGCATATTTTTTAATCCTTTTAACATACTAGGGACCCTTGTATAGCGAATGTTATGGAACTTAGAACATGGTTTGAGTATTTTAAATGATTTGGACATAGACAATAATTTTTAAATATCTTACAGTTTGAGATATTTTAAATGATGTAGACATCGACAGTAATATTGACACAAAAACATAGATATGAGCAATGATGTATTTCCCTTTATGACATAGTTCGTTCATGGTATTTTTATTTTTGTCAAAGCTGAGTTTGTATTTCAGGAATGTAGACCAGAAATTCTAAATAATACATTAGCAAGTTGGATCCAGGAGAACACTTCATCATTGCTAAGTTAACTCTAGATGGCAAGGATTTTACTAAGTCCAAACGGCCAGTAAATTTATGAAATAGTGCTCAGCCTCACTTGGTCAGTTGTAGGAGAAATGCCACTTTAGAGCAATACTAAGGTGTTTTCTACTCATGTATGTAATAAGCATGGGAGAAAACTTGAAAGGATTCACTTTGAGTTAGGCTAAAAGACCTAAGGAGGCAGGTGGTGGGGTTGAGTGGGGGTGGTAAAGTGAAGGAGATAAAGGCTAGGGTATATTTGAATCTTTTTGTATGTGTTTTCTTGGCGTGTACTGACTAATAATTTTCATAAGTAGTTTAACAAAAGGAAAAAATCCTTAGATTCTAATATTATTTCAATGGAAAGAATTTTATCCATTTTACAAAAATTTTCTTAATGAAGTGCTGAAGAATATATCCATGAAGAATGTTATCATATTCGCCAAGATTACAATCAAAATAGATGTTATATTTCAATCATGTATGCGTATTTTGTTAATATGTTTTGTTCTCACAGTAGTCAGTGACCCTTGGAAAGCATGTTATGAGGTTATTTTAACTTTAAGGAACTGGCCTCCCCAAGCATAATTATCAGTAAAATCTTTAGTTGCTTTATAATACATAGGGAGGTATTAAGTATTATTGATTAATAAACTATTACATGTCATTTTCAAATGTAAGCAAAGAAAAGCTTCCTAGCTTTAACAATTGTGATTTGAATCCAGGATGCTGCTCACATTTCAAAAGCCTTTTCACAGTGTAATGATGTATTGATTTTAAGTGATAATTAGTACTCTACGATTGATTGGCTTATCTCTTTGAACAAATTTACAGTCCAATTTACTCTCCATATAACTAATTGCAGACTTTATATAAAAAGTTGGAGACACTCTCTGATTTACATGGTGGTGTTTTGTGGGTGGGTTATAGGATATTATTTTATTATGGTTATTAATTAAATGGTAATGGTGGTATATTAATAATGTTATATGAATAAAGAAATGTTATGATTTCTCCTTCAGAAACTTCTAATTTAATTTTAAAATAAATGAACAACAAATTTAGAGTAGCAATTTTTATTTTCCTCTTTGTACCTTCCTGGCAATTGTAATGAAGGTAGAAAAAGGAGATGATATTTAGGTAGCTTACCTTTTGATTTTAACCCTTAAATATCATGTGGAAATTAGTGTTTTTAATTCAAATCGAATTATGTCTCTACGTATATTAAAGGTTTCAGGCTGTAAGGAAGAAGTTTGTGACAGAATTGAAAGAACTGCGACAAAAGGAACAAAGCCCACATGTGGTACAAAGCGTTATCAGCTTAATAATGGGAATGAAATTTTTTCGAGTAAAAATGTATCCTGTAGAAGATTTTGAAGCATCATTTCAATTTATGCAGGTGATATACCTTCTCAGTGGTAGTAAATAGAGCAAGACTAACACTTCTTGCTCTTTATGACTTTTTAAAAGAAACAAAATATACATAAATTAATGACATCATTTTTAGTCTCTTGTGTGTTAAGTTGTCATAAGTGTAAATTATTATTTTTTCTTTGAGACAGAGTCTTACTCTGTCACCCAGGCTAGAGTACAGTGGTACGATCTCAGCTCACTGCAACCTGTGCCTTCTGGGTTCAAGCGATTTTCCTGCCTCAGCCTCCTAAGTAGTTGGGATTACAGGCACCTGCCACCACGCCCAGCTAATTTTTATATTTTTCTTTTAGTAGAGACAGGATTTCACCATGTTGGCCAGGCTGGTCTCGAACTCCTAACCTTAGGTGATCTGACTGCCTCAGCCTCCCAAAGTGCTGGGATTACAGGTGTGAGCCACCATGCCAGGCCAACTTTATGTTTTGACTTAAAGATGCATTGACCTTAGTTTTTTGGTAAAATGGCAGAGTGTTCACAAAATTATGTTGATATTGCAAATTCTTTAACCTTTGCTCTTTTGGTAATCTAAGTATATACCTCTTTCCCTTTAAGGAATGTGCTCAGTATTTCTTAGAAGTGAAAGATAAAGATATAAAACATGCACTTGCTGGTTTATTTGTGGAGATTCTTATCCCTGTAGCTGCTGTAAGTATGTTTTTATTTTCATACCATTTGTGTGTTATATAAGAACCTTAACAACTCTATTCTTTCATGTTTTGTTTTCTAAAAACACTTACATGACAGTAAGCTGTGGTCATGGGAGGGCTTGTCTCATTTGTTCCCTGTTGCTCAGAAGTCTTTTCCCTTTGTTGATTGTACAGTGTCTTAGAGATCATTTCATGTATTTTGTTTTTGGTTGTTTCAGATGGTAGGGGAAATCCAGCTCCCTTCACTCCATCTGGGCGAGACATGGAAATTAATTAAATTCTTTTTGTTCAGGTTTTATTCTAGTTAAAATCTCAAAAAATGAAGAAATTTATTATGTTGAAAAATTGAACTGTTTTGGCTTTCATTTTTAAACATTGAATTCACTGACTTGTGACCTATGAGCTTGTATGAATTGGTTTGCAGTATTCAGTTCCTGTCTTTAGAGCATGTGTAGAAAAGGTGAACAGACAATTGTTTTAAAAGTTAAGAATTTAAAATATTAATGAGAGTGATTGATGCATCTCTTTTTAAAACCTGTCTTGCATTGAAGATTTTTTAAAATGGGGACACACAAAACTCATAAATTAAAGGTTTGCAAGTGGTTTATTTGAGTAACACAGCTCCCGTTCCCTCCCAACCCAGTTTTTAGCCATATGAATTTGGCTCATTTTATCAAAAAGAAAACAGGCTATCATGTATAAGTCATGTCAGTTTTAGTCTTTTATTAGAAATGCACTTTGATTTCTTTTCCTGTAAGTTGTTTGAATTACTATTTATCCCTTCCAAATGATCATTTGCACTTCCCCCCTGTTTGATCTACCTTTTTTTTTTTTTTTTTTTTTTTCTGCCAGATGGCTGAGATTAGGTTTTAGTTTTTTTAGTTCATGAAAAGGAACAGGTTATAGGAAGAGAGGCCCTTGACAATGGTCCATTATCACCATGTTGCCTGCTCCTTTTATACCATATTTGCTTTTCTGTCCAGGTTTATTAGCCTGCTAGGGCTGCCGTAATAAAGTACCTCAAACTGGGTAGCTTAACAACAGAAATGTATTGTCTCGTATTTACGGAGGCTAGAGTGTGAGATCAAAGTGCCAGCAGGTTGGTTCCTTGTAAGTGTTGTGAGAAAGAACCTGCTCTATGCCCCTTGCTTAGCCTCTCATGTGTACTGAAAATCTTTGGTGTTTCTTGGCTTGTAGAAGCATGGCTCTGTTCCTACCTTCATGGTCACTTGGCATTCTCCTTGCGTATATATCTGTGTTCAAATTTCCTTTTTTTAAAAGGACATCAGTCATGTGGATTAGGGTCTTCCTGATCCTAACTTAATTAATTCAATCCGCAATGACATATTTCCTAATGAAGTCACCTTCTGATGTATGTGGGGTTAGGACTTCAACATGAATTCTGGGGGGATATGATTCAACCCATAATACCAGGCCTCTGTAGGTAGAGCTCTTTCTGCCTGGAACATTCATGCCTCTCTAGTAACCTCCCTCCGCTCTTTGCCCAGCTGACCTCTCTTTCTTTACTCATTTTTGTATTGAGTGCTTTCTGTTTGTCAGGTCCTCATCTATGCACAAGGGAATACAACAGTGAATATGATAGGAAAGACTCCTTAGTATTGTAGACTTTACTTACTAATGCAGAAGATAGAAAATATACTAGTGCATACAATAGATAGTGTGTCAGATTGTGGAGAGTAATGTGATGAAACATAAACAGTGTGGGGAGCATAGGATTGCCAAATGGGGGAGGAGGGAGTTGAAATTTTAAAGAATATGATTAGGAAAGACCACCACCTCGAAAGAGATGGTAGCAATTGAGCAAAAACTAAAGGAATGAGACAGTAAGACTTCCTATGTGTGTGGAAGGAGCTTCTCTGGCAGAAGGCCCCAGCGTAGACATCCTAAGTCAAGAAATGCTTTGATGCATTCTAGGAACAGCAAGGAAGTTCCTAAGGCTGGGTCCCCGTGCATGGTCAGAGAGTGGGAGATAAGGCCAGCACGTTTAAATGGGAGACTTTAGCAATATTTCTGGTAAGAGATGTTGGATGCAGATTAGATGTTACTTCCTTGTGGAGTTTTTCCATAGGGGACCCTTTTGAGTGCACCAAGAGTACAGAGAATTCGCTCTCATTGAACCTGTTATACTGTGTCCTCCTAGCCTGTATTCCCACTTTGTTCATTCAGGGCTAAGACCAGGCTTATCTTATATACTTAACATTTGGTCACTTGGCACATTGTAATATTTTGGTGAGAGTCTCAGTGAATTATTAACCAATTTCAAACCTCACAGTGAGTTCTTGTAAGCTTTGCATAGTTTAATCTAATGTCTGTAATCATTTTCTTTGTTTGCATTCTCTTTTTACTAGGCTGTTAAAAATGAAGTGAATGTTCCTTGTTTGAAAAATTTTGTGGAGATGCTTTATCAGACTACTTTTGAACTGAGCTCGAGAAAGAAGCATTCATTGGTATTAAACATTTCAAACCTTTTCATATTTAATTGGGATCTTTAGTAATTGATTTATGAATTCACTGGAGATTTAAGAGAATTGTAAAATCTAAAATTGCAAAATCCCTGAAGTGCAATACAAAGGCAAATTTTACATTCATATTTTTCACATTGCTCTATTTAAATTTTCTGTTCTTAATTTTACTAGCTCTGCATTTGATGAGTTGTTCAGACTTCCTTCTAGGTAATCATGCATTGCTTAATGATGGGAATATGTTCTGAGAAATGTGTCATTAGGCAATTTCATTCTGCAAACATCATTGAATGTACTTACACAAACCTAGTTAGTATTTCCTACTACACACTAGGCTATATGGAATAGCCTATTGCTCCCAGGCTACAAACCTGTACAGCATGTAATTGTACTGAATACTGTGGGCAATTGTAGCAGAATGATATTTGCGTGTCTAAACACAGGGAAGGTACAGTAAAAATATGTTGTAAACTCGGGGGATCACTGTCATAAAGTGATTTTAGCAGCTGTTTTCTGTCTAATCTTTTCTATACAGATTAAAGGCATTTTTTTCTACCTATTTCACATAACTTTTCTGTAGATTGGAGAAGGTTTGGAGAATTAGTCAAATATTTGACCATCTAAACTAGAGATACAATAATAGTAAACATGATTGTGCCAGGCATTGAACTAGTATTGCACTTTTTTGTCTTACTTTAAGCTTCACAACCCTGTAAGATATTTGTGATTATTGTCCTCCACTTTACATGTTTGGAAAGTGAGGCTTAGAGTGCTTAATGTAGCCACCATGAGATACACATTTGACAGACAGAAAGCTAAAACTTTAATGCCATCTGTCATCTGATCCCAGGGACTAGTCATAACAACAAACTGGATGAGGGACTAAATAGCATATTCAGAGAGGTATGATCAGTCAAGGAATTTTCCTCATAGAAAATTTACCTTTTATCCTTCTGCGTTGGATTATTCTATGAGATTATACTTCTTACTACAAAATGGAAAACTGCTTAAAAGATTTGTTTCCTTGCTTATGAGAATAAATGAAATATAATTTACAAGTCCAGTGCTTTTCGATGAAAAGTGTTAATTCTCTCTTTTCCCCATCTCCTTTAGGCTTTATATCCACTAATTACCTGCCTTTTATGTGTCAGTCAGAAACAATTTTTTTTAAATAACTGGCATATTTTCCTACAGAACTGTTTGTCACATTTAAAGGTAAGATGTAATCACACTTCTGATCTATAAATACTGACTGTGGTATATTTGTGCATATAAATTGAACACTGCATAATGAAACTTTTGTTACTATTGATATACTTGAATAGTAACACGTTGCCACATTCCTTTTCCTATTTCTTCTATAGGGAGTCATGTATAGATATGAGTAAACCTTTGACTGAAAATTTAGTTTGTCCTATTGAATGCAAAATTGTACATTTTTAGTGATATTTATATTAAATCTAGGAATATTTGTTAATATTTTTAGAATTATAGAGTATTACACTCACAAAACCCTTTAGATACTTATTTTGCCTTTTGTTTTGAGGAAATCAGTAATGTTGGTTTAAGCCTGAGCAAAATGAAAAAAGCTTTGATGATATCACTAAAATTTCATTTAATTTAAGTATGCCTAGCCATATCTAAAAGTTGGTACTGGATCCACACAGACGTAAAAGCTCCTGAAATGATTCTGACTTGAATGAAAGGGTACTTGTCACTAACACTATTTGGCACATCCATATTCAGCCTCTCTTAGTCCTGAACACAAAACTGTGAGAGATACAAGGATCATTTTCTTCCCAGGATGCTCTGCTGGCAGGATCCTCTGTTCTTATTTGGGTAGGAACACAATTCTGACAGAGTGTGGGAATATTCTTCAGCTGCATGTCATGCCAATGCTTGATTTGAATATTCTTTTGGTATATTCTTAGATGAGCCTATTTGAATATTTGCTTGCAAGTTATAGAAATATTGCAGACATGACATTCCATTTCCTGGTATTCCTCTAAGTTAGATTTGAAACAGAAAACCCTATACTTTGAAGATAATGGAACCAAGGCAGATAGAGTAAGTGACTTGTCTTTGGCTATGCAGCTCGCTGTGCTATTGTAGAAGTAGGACTGCCTCTTCTTCCATACTTCAGGAATGATCCACTGGATGTTATCCTGTATGTCTTTTTAATAATTCTATGTATCATTTTCAAAACTGCCTCAATTTCTTAGGTATACAGAATATATACTACTTTGAGAAACATTTTTGTCTATTTCCTTTCTAGATAAACATTGATATTACTCTTGTTTGGATGAGAATTTATATACCTTCTTTGACTGTTTATGAAAATTCCCAGGACCAAATCAAACTGATTAAACTCTTTATTCATGCAACCAGGAGATAAATTTTATTGAACTAATTATAATATACTTATTTCTGTTCTTATTTTGATAATTTGTACAGATATGGGGACCAAAAGAGAATTGATAATTTTTCTGGATAGTATGATTTTTCATAAGTTCATTAAAATATTTTTAAGATATGCATTTAAATGTTTCTGGAAGACTGCTTTGTTTCATAACAGTTCATTCTTTTCTGTTGCTTGTTGGAATTTTTTAATATATATACGTTTCACCTAACATATTTGCAATACTTCGCAGTACCTTAACTTTTTTTTGTCTTAAGACTTTCATTTAAATGCTCTATTTTCTTTGAACCCTTACCTCCTGTTAAATATTTCTGGCATATTGTTCATTTTCATTAATGGCTATGTCAATCTGCCAGGCTAAAGGAGATAAGAGCCACTTAGCATGAGTATTTGGAATATAATTGTCTTGGCCATTAACCCTTAACATTAAGGCTCTATTCAGCAGAAATTTAATGAATTGGCTCTTATATATTAAGTCTTAGATAATGTGGCTGCTCTGCATAGTTGAGGTAAGGAGTTAACCACTGAAGGAAAAACTATGTTAGTTATCTGTTATAACAGTTATTTGTTTTATGTATAGGAAAAATTGATCTAAGATAAAGGCCTTACCTAAATAATTTTGAGATTCAGTTAATCTCTTGATACTAAAAACCTAAAACAATTTCCATTAGACCTGTACTTTTTTTTTTTTTTTTTTTTTTTTTTTTTTTTTTTTTTTTTTTTTTTTTTTTTTTTTTTTTTTTTTTTTTTTTTTTTTTTTTTTTTTTTTTGAGATTAAGTCTTGCTCTGTCACCCAGGCTGGAATGCAGTGGCACGATCTCAGGTCACCGTAACCTCCACCTCCTGGGCTCAAGTGATTCTCCTGCCTCAGCCTCCTGAGTAGCAGGGATTATAGGCACCTGCCACCACCCCCAGCTGATTTTTATATTTTTAGTAGAGATGGTGTTTCGCCATGTTGGCAGGCTGGTTTGAACTCCTGACCTCAAGGTATCCATTCACTCAACCTCCCAAAGTGCTGGGATTACAGGTGTGAACCACTGCACCCAGCCTAGACCCATACTTCTTATGACTGGTTTTTATTACTCTTCATTGAATGCTACATCCTCTAAGTACAGAATCTCACTTGATTTTTACTGTACATGAGGCTGAAAGAAGATAAACAAGTAACCTGTGTTTTGGGAGCCAGTAAATCATGGAGATGGACTTGTGTCCATATTCACATAGTTCCATAGCTCTCACTCCTCTGGTCCACCATGTTACTTCTGAATGTAGTATAAGGAATGTTGTTGCATGTGAGCACTGAATATTTTAAGAAAACATGTTGGCAATAATTTGGGGATATTAAAAAGGCATTATTCTCTAGAGTCATAAGAATAAATATGAATTTTAAGGCACTTTATGATATTGCACAGTTTTTAAAAATTATCATACCTGTTTTAAGTTGATGACCATGAAAAATGAGCTCTATCCCTATGTGCCCATAAATAGCTTGTGACAGAGTGCCACTATATTTCACTGAAAAGTTAAATCTTTAATTTTTGTTCCAAACAGAATTTGGTAGTCTCACATTCCCATGTCTGTATCAATTTAGATACTTGTGTGAAACATGATTTTAAAGTTTCTGGAGAGTTCTTAAGAGAGATAGTGAATAATAAGAGTAGATATCATACAAAAATAATTTAGAGATTTTTTTTTCCAAAAATCTATACTTATTTTTATTAGAAAATTTAAAGTTGTCTGAACTGAAATGCAGTTCTTTAGGAAAAATTCTAAGAAAAATTAGAGAGTTAACACTTTTGTTTTCTCTTAGTTTGAGTATTATAGGTGGATCTCCCATGATGCCCAAATTGTGGGATTTTTTTTAGTGTTTCTGGCCACTGTCTTGGACATTTCAAATTTCTTCTAAATAGAGACCTTGGTGAAGAGCTGTCTTGTTTTGTGCTTATTTTCATCTAACATGCATGTGCTGCATCTCATGTTTATGTTTGCTGTCTCACATTGCTTTATTTAGATGCCATCTAACAACAGTATCAGAAAACAAATAGAAACACTCCAGGTGAGTTGTGTCGACATTACAAACTAAAATATTGCTTTATTTCCTTTAAGTGTGGCATTTGTTTTTCCTTTTCCCATTGTTGCATTGCATGTCTAATGTATTTATTCCAACCTGCTTCTGGTATTGTAAAAGAAGAGTAGCACACAGCAGAAACATTCTTCAGAATGTTTAATATCAATGTGGCCCCAAGAAGATGAATTTTAAACATAGAACTGATACTGAATGCTGATTCTTCACCAAAATTCACAGTTTTAAAATACTCTGTTTAATATACATTATCTAGCTGTTATAAATGAAGCTGTTTAATTTCCAGTAAAATTAAGGAGACAGTAGCTTCGATTTTGAATATAGTTTGTTGTTGTTATTGTTTTTATTTTTAATTTTTGTGGGCACACAGTAGGTGTATATATTTATGGGGTACATGAGATGTTTTGATACAGGCATGGAATGTGAAATAAGCACATTGTGGAGAATGGGGTATTCATCCACCTAAGCATTTATCCTTTGAGTTACAAACAATCCAATTATACTCTTAAAGTTAATGGAATACAATTTTGACAAATTAATTTTTAAAATTTTATCCTATTGATTTGGGTTTTTTGTTTTTTTTATATTTTAGAGACAGGGTCTTGCTATGTTGCCCAGGCTAGACTCCAACTCCTGGGTTCAAGCTGAGACTACAGGCATACACCACCAGGCCTGGCTTTACTGGTTTGAGTTTTAAACAAACCATTTTTTTAATTCAGTAGAAAAAAGAAAAAACATTAAAATGATTGTTGCCAAAGACTATATTTGACTGACATATCAAAATTTTGTTTTATATTAAGTTCACTAGATTTTATTTGTATAGTTGTTCAAATTAGATTGAATATCTTTGTTCAAAGCTCAGATAAATTTAGGATGATTTTATCATTCAGACATATAGCAGCATTGTAGCAGCTGAAAAAAATAATAATTGATTTTTGTCACTTCTCATCTTGCTGTTTTGGCATTGTGTGAATGCCAGCTTTGTTTGAAAATCAAGGTTTTTCATGCCAGATACCTCATCACTTAAGATTATCCAAATATTTTTATATTTAATCATTCATATGAGAAAAGTTTTTATGTAGAATTGGACTTACATATTTTTAAAGTATAATTTTTAATAATATTTTGAAAATACAATTTAACAGTATAAAAATGTTATTTCATGTGTACCTAAAAACTAATGGGACTTATTTAAGGCTTTATTTTTTTAGAGCAGTTTTAGGTTCACAGTAAAATTGAGAGGAGGGTACCGAGATTTCCCTACCTCCACTCAGGTCTAGCTTCCCCCATACTCAGCATCCCCCTTCAGAATGATACATTTGTTAAAACTGATAAATATACATTGGCACGTCTTTATCACACAAAGCCCACAGCTTACATTAGAGTTTACTCTTGGTGTTGTACATTCTATCGGTTTGGACAAATGTCTAATGACATGTACCTACCATTATAGTATCATGCAGAGTATTTTCACTCCTAAAAATCCTTCATGCTCTACCTCTTCATCTCGCTCTATCTTCCTAACTCCTGGCTGAACTATTTTGACGTCTGGTTATCTTAGATTTAAATGATAGAAAAGAAAGTTATGTTGTCTTAAAGACGTTACTACAGAATGCTTGGTTGTTATATTAGTAGTATACATTTTATGTTACTTTAGTTACGTTAGTAACAAATATAATTGGAAATTACTCGGAAAGTATATTTGAAATTTGGTATCATTATGGATCTGGCACTGGATTGATACTGAGAGTCTAATCAGCAGAGTAACTGATCTTCCATCCTTACTTATATCAGATCTTTATCTAGATAGATCTGGGAAAAGCTAAAATGTAAATTCACAATAATCAGTGCATCCTAAAACTAATCAACAGATGTATAAAGAGTTTCTTCTTAAAAAAAGGAGATTATTAGCTGCATTTCAAAATTTACAATTAAACCTCACTGCTTTACTGGTCATTTGAGAACTTTATTTTTTATAACAGCTAGAATGAAGAAAAGCTATGCTGATTAAATTATGATTAAAATGGAAATAACTTTCTGATTTTAAATAATACTAATAATTTAAATAATATCCTGATTCCAAATAAAAATTATAACACTTAATAGTCAATGAACATTTAATACATGCCAGGTACTGTTCCAAGTGCTTTACAGATATTAACTTTATCTCTAAGGTAGGTACCATATTTTCTCCATATTAGAGATGAGGAAATTGTGATTCAGAATAATGTAACAATGCCCAAGGATGGAGCTTGGATTTAATCCATTTTTCCCAGTTTTAGAGTCCATGCTGTTAAGTCACTATTCACTCATAAGGATATGCACTTCATAATATTTTGCATTATTTTGTAAATGCAAATGACTGTAATACCATTTGGTGTTCTGAATTTTAACTGTATATGGACTGCAAGTGAATTACACCAAAAATGAGTGATCCTTTTTTTCAGTCATTATGTCAGTGTTGGAGTGTGAACTGTTTATCATCAAGTAAGTTTGTGTGTGTAATTTTAGAGTTCTTAGAAATATTAGTATAATTTTATTTACTAAATAAGATTTAGTATTTTCTTTTGAAAGTATAAGGAAGGGCTCAATTTTCACATTTATGGTTACTTTTGAGCCATATACTTACCTTATACCAAATATGTACCTATATATTTAAACCTATTTTAGACGGAATACAAAAAAGGTGAGCTTTTAGTTGTTGACAAAGAATATGTTTGCTCTTAAGTGATTGCAAGTATTTTAATATGTTTATTTTTATTCTCTTTTGTTTTAAAACAGAATAAAGATCCTAAAATGTCTCGAGTTGCACTGGAATCTTTATATAGATTGTTGTGGGTTTATGTAATTAGAATAAAATGTGAAAGCAACACTGTAACTCAAAGGTGAGTATCTTTGCTTTAAAGTCCATTAAAAATCACGTTTTAAAAAAACACTAATAGGAATTTTAGTAAACATTATACTTTGTGGATGGAATATGAATTCTGTTAATATATTATGAAGAATAGGAAGTATTTTTTGCTCATACGCTGTTGATGTCATGATCTCATTATAACTAGATCTTTTTCCCTGTAGTCGTCTTATGAGCATAGTGTCAGCACTTTTTCCAAAAGGCTCACGAAGTGTGGTTCCTCGTGACACACCTCTCAATATATTTGTGAAGATTATTCAGTTCATTGCTCAGGTGAGTGCTTCACCTCATAGTAGGTATGTATGCAAATTGTTAGAGTAATCTATTGTAATCAGTGGGAGCTTTGAAATTTTTTATGCATCTAAAAACATAACATCGAATAAGTTTTTTTTTTATTAATCTACACTTGCAGACAGAAAGGAAACCCACAGGTGGAAGCACTTTTCATCGAAAAGTGATCAACAATGTATCTCATACTCCTAATCTTAGTGCCTTTACTAATTACCTCCTGAATATCTTGAAGGATTTCTTAGAAAATTATTTTCATAGTCTATATTAATCTAGGCTCTTAGGTACAGATAATAGAATCCACTGTAGTTAGTTAAACCCAAAGGAATCTCGAAAGGAATATGGATAGCTCAAAGAATTTATAGTTGGGCTGAAGAAATGAATTCCAGTCTGAAAGACAATGAGGAAGCTGCCACCTTGCCAAAATAAAAGCCATTAGATAAGGAAGTCACCACATGTGGATGTGCTTCAGAATCATGCTGTGTCTACCACGTTCCTCACCAGTAAAATAGACTCGTTTCTCCCTGCCTTCCTCCTCCTCTTTGTATATCCCAGTTCCCAAAGAGACTCACATGAGCATACCACTTGGCAGGGTATAAATCATGTCCTCAAGCTTTTTGTTACATAGGATCCTGGGAAATACAAGTTTAGCTTTCTAGCATCTGCAGTAAAGGAAGGATTATTAGAAGGGGATTAAATATATGTTGATGAGCCAATCCAAGGTTTTGATCACATTACCTTTTGAGACATCCACCTTGGAGAAACATAAGTAGGGTTACCTCCTCAACATGGGAAAGTGCTGTGATTCCAGAATATTAGTTGCATTCTCTTTCAACTGAAACTGTAACAATCTAGGTGATCCATAATACAATGATTTTTGACAGTGAAGAAATAAAGAATATTTAAATAGAATTAGTACATTGTTATTTACTAGAGAACAAAAGTAATGATAATTAGGTAAGTATAAGGTTATCAGTCAGATTAATAAAAGCAAATTGTACTTTAGATCAAGTGTTCAGAAAACTTGTGACATTAGGTTGCATCTCTTCCCTTTTCTTTTTTTCCAGAATTGTGCCCACTCCCTTGAATTAGTTACCTTCCTCTAGCACTCCACCAGAATTATAAAACTCCATTCAAACATCAGCTAATCTTATTAGTTAACTTTTTTTTTTCCTCCCCCTGGGAGATTTCCTTCCTAGAGCCCCAGCCCCATTCTTCCTGACCCAATATGAACTCACTGCTCACTAGGCCACTGCCTGGCTATTGTCTTGGGACTTCCTTTCATTATCATTCTGGGAATTCTTTCACTTTGATTTTAATATGATTTTGGTGAATGAATGCTTAAAACTTTTATTCTATTAGTGTTGGTGTTAAATCATTTGATAATATACTTATATATTTTGACCTTAATTCATGCATATTTCTGTTCAGCTATGAACTTTTTAAGGGCACAAACCTGTGTTGTTGCCATTGTATATTATATTTATAATTCTTAGAATGATACGTAACACATAGAAGCAAGCTATAAGGTTTTTTTTTTTTTTTTTTTTTTAAGGAACGTTTGGATTTTGCAATGAAAGAAATAATATTTGATCTTCTCAGTGTTGGAAAATCTACTAAAACTTTCACCATTAATCCAGAGGTAAAAAAATTTATAGCCTAATGATATACAATCCTATACTATTTATTTTATTTTTTTTTTAGAGCATGATTTCTGGAATTAGAACTCTTAGGTTCAAATCCCAGCTGTACTTCTAATACTAGCTGTGATCCCAGACAAGTTACTTAACTGTTCTGATAGCTGGCTGAATGGTTTAATAATAGTGTTTAAGCATGGTAGAAAATAAAAAGGAGAGGAAAATTTTGTTGGGTTAGTCAGCTGAGCTGGCTCCTGGAAGTTGTAACATGTGCTCAGGTTTTTTCTTCTTCTTTTTTTTTAATTCACATGATTTATATTTAAGGTGTTATTCAATAAATTTCATGCATTCATCATTTATTGAGCACCTAAAATGTGTCAGGCACTGTTCTATGTTTCATAGTAAAAACAAAAATTTGTTCTCTCACCACCACCCCCCCAAAAAAGTAACATTAAAAAAGTAAATGTTCTATCCTGCCTCCATGGGCTCATGATTCACTAGTAAACTCTAATTCATTCTTTAGACATTAGATATTCAGGATTTTTCAAAATATTTCATAAATTAATTGTTTATTGGAATCTAATTACATCTGAGAATATAAAAAGGTAAAACAGGCATTATCTATTTTCTTTTTTCTTATTTTAAATTACGATCTTGTTCCAATACATAGTCAAATCCTAAGATATGTGTTTATATGGTTAACAAATGAGTTGGAAAGGCTTTTCATTTGTAATATTTTTAAGATAGTTTAGTAATTATTTCCAGATTTAGAAAGTAGGCAAACATGATTGTTTGTATAGCTGACATACTTAACACGTGGGGGATACATGCATCCCAGTGGGTGTAGAAGGTAGTTCACTGGAGTACAGGAAGAAAATAAAGCTTTTATTTATATATTTTTTGGTTTCTACCAACAAAAATGGTTTCCAGCAACAAAAATTATGAAACAAAAGATATTTTATTGAACATCCATTTAGAAAATATTCACTTCGTTGAATAAATGTATTTCTGAAAGTAAATTTTTTTCTTACTGAAGTTCTTATACTAGGAGTTAAAGAAAAGTTCTGCTGAGTGTTTTTTGGGTGGTGGTGGTTGTTTATTAGGTTTGCTTTGTTAGGATTATCTTGAATCTGTATTTTCAAGAACTTTAAGTTTGTAAGAGCTAGTTTAGTTAAACCTAGATAAAATTACCAGTTAGCCCATTTAATCAAATATATGCAAATTGCAATACACCGAAAGAATGTATAAGTTAAGCTTCCTCTGTCAACTTGACTACATTGTGGGCCTTTTCCACTTCTTTCAAGGTGTCATCTTTGATTATGTGACATGTGACTATCTGATACTTTGACTAAGGAAGGGCACCAGTACTATGTTGTATATAAAGATGAGTGAAGCTTAAAGTTTTAATCTTACTTAGATAACAAATACATATAAATAAAAGCTTTATTTTCTTCTCATATTCCAGTGAACTACCTTGCACACCCACTGGCATGTGTATACCCACTGGAGAGATCACTGGTGTAGATCAGAGAAAATGACAGCCTGGGCTTAGATCGTAGTGGTGCAGATAGAGGAACATTCACTGAGTAAAGAAACACTGAGAAGGAATCATATTTGGGGGCAGCAAGGTCATGCATTTGGTTTGAACATGTCTAACCTGAGGCATCCAGGTAGAGGCTTCCAAGTAAGAGATGTCAGATGGGTCTGAGTTCAGGGAGAGGTCAGGCATAACATTTGTGGGTGTTCTGGTATGGGTGGTAATTGAAGCATGTAAGTATATGCAGTTGCTTTGGGAGGTAATACATAATAATAGGAGAAGGCAGCCTAGGAGGACCTTGCCTTGAAGCAGTCTAACATTCAATACCCAGGTAAAGGAGGATAAACCTGAAATGCAGATAAAGATGACACAGCCAGAAGTGGAAGAGAGATATTAAAGGAAGGGAGTGTTTCAGGAGAGAAGGAGTACTTGACCTTGTCTATGTTGCTGAAAAATCAAATAGCATGCTATAAATAGGTCCACTGTTTTGAGCAATATGGTCGCCGATGAGTGAGAATGGCTTCAGGAAAGCATTTGGGGAAGGTTTGTTCCAGTAAGATAGCAAGTATAGTTCAGATAAATGGGATATATTCAGCTGAAAGGAAAATGTTGAAGATGTAAGAAAGAGAAGGTGTAATTGGCGTTGGAATGTTTCCAAACATGCAAGAACAGATGGGATTCCAACAACTAGGAAGACTGCCACTCCCTCACTATACCAAGAGCAAAAGGGAGGGAGAAGAGGCTCAGGTATAAATAGATTAATGTGATTTGTAATGAGAGATTGAGGAAAGTTGGTGATTTTTTTTCTGTGAAGTAGAAGACAAGTCATTTGCCTAGAAAGGCGAGGGTAAGGGACCATAGGAGGATAAGGAGAGTTGAGGAAGGATGGAAGAGGATTGCTATAAGCCTTAGAGACAATAGGAAGCTGGTTGACCTCACAAGTGAGTGAGTGGCATTTGATAATTTGATATTAAAGCAAACTCTAATGCCTGGGCTAGTTAAAAATATGGGACAGAGAGGTTAGTGTTCCTTCTGTCTTCCTTCCTTCCACTCCCCCAACTCTGATGTCATTGATAAATATTTCTAACATGCAAAAAAGGTAATTTATGACACTCATTTCTTCCTTTTGAATTTTTTTTCCTTTGAAGAGAATGAACATAGGCCTCAGAGTCTTCCTTGTAATAGCAGACAGTTTGCAACAGAAAGATGGTGAACCACCCATGCCAACAACAGGAGTTATTCTTCCCTCAGGAAATACTCTTCGTGTAAAGAAAATTTTTCTCAATAAAACCCTGACAGATGAAGAAGCAAAAGTCATAGGTTAGTTTAACTGAAATTAAGTAAGTCGCTTTGTAATGCAGTTTCATATTCTTTTATAAAAGTCTGATCAAATCTAAAATGTATATAAATTTGCCTAATACCATTTTTTCAGTATATACAGCTGTAGAAAATGAATACTTTTTTTTTTTTTTTTTTGAGACAGAATCTCATTCTGCTGCCCAGGCTGGAGGGCAGTGGCACGATCTTGACTTACTGTAAGCCCCGCCTCCTGGATTCAAGCGATTCTTATGCCTCAGCCTCCCAAGTAACTGGGACTAGAGGCATCCACTACCATGCCTGGCTAATTTTTGTATTTTTAGTAGAGATGGGGTTTCGCCATGTTGGACAGGCTGGTCTCAAACTCCTGACCGCAAGTGATTCACTCACCTCAGCTTCCCAAAGTACTGGGATTACAGATGTGAGCCACTGTGCCCAGCCTACAATGAATACTTTTTTTCGATAATAGTTATGAGTCTTCATGTGAAGAGTTTTCCAGTTAAATCTTTATTTTATCACAGGATCCTATTCACTGCATTCTGTCCTTTCTTCAACTTAATTTTAGTCTTCTGCATAATTACTACATAATTTCTCCAGTTAGTCCAATATACTGAAGCTGATCATCAGGGAGAATATATCACAGTTGAAACCCCTTTTGTGGCAGCAATAAGCTAATATCATTTAAAGATTGATAGGCTTTTACTACAGAAAGTAACTAAGTATTCTTATCTAACATCAGATATTTTATAACTGAAGTTTTTTCCCCTAGGAATGTCAGTTTACTATCCTCAAGTAAGAAAAGCATTAGATAGCATCCTCAGACATTTGGACAAAGAAGTTGGGAGACCAATGTGTATGACCAGTGTGCAGATGTCTAATAAGGAGCCTGAAGACATGATTACGTATGTAGTAAATTTTTGCCTTTATTGCCCTTTCAGTTTTCCTAAGACAGCATGGATGGTTCTTGCTTACCTGTCTCCTTACTTTGTCTTTAGAGTTCTTCCGTGTTTCTATCTGCTGCAGTTTTCAATACAGTGATTCCTCCCACATGCTCAGTTTTAAAGTGCTGTCAAACTGGTATAGACAGCAAAACTCACTCTGGAACCCAGTCTGATGTGTTGTCAATGACAAGGCCCTGCACTTAATCCATGAGCAAAATATGAATCCTAGGTACTCCAGATGTATGTGGGCAGGATTGGTTTATTAAGTCAGATAAATGCTTTTACTTCCAAAGTCCTAGTTAAAAAAGAAAAAATCATGAAAACCTGAACTCCGAAAGGAACTAGGGTATAGAGAGAAATAGCATGAGTATTTTTTTTAGAAACAGTACCTCATCTCACCCCACCTCCAGGGTCTCGTCATTATTTGTCATCCTGGCATCTTTTTTTCTTATTGCTAGGGATTTCTCCTCCAGAGGGTGTATGTTATGGCAGTAACTTCTTCTATTTGCTATAAAACATCTACATATTCTCTGTAAGGGAGGAGATTCTTTCGGATATTAATATTTGCATCATTAGAACACCAAATTTGATATTTAATCTCTAAATTTAATACACAGTTATTATGGACTACTATATGCTAATATCTCTGAGAGTTTCTTTAATGTGAAGTTTTTTCCCAACGTTACTTCCTCTGGGATTTCTTGTTTTTCACCACATCCACCTCATTTTTGTCAGTAAGTTTGCTTTCACCCAGTTCCTCTGATACCTATATAACATCTCGAAAGACAGCAGTATCAACATTCCCTGGCTAGCTCTTTCTTCTGTAACTCTGTTACCTTTCTAGTCTATTTCAGTGTGCTTTAATTTAGGATCTTTGAGATAGAGAGCACCCTCTCAGTGACTAGGAGAGAAGCAAGATAACAATGAAGATGTTATTACCTACAGGTAGTGGGGGTACACTGCACACATGGAGGCCTCACTCACAGAGGTCAGGGAGCATGTGGAGAGAGAAAGAGAGAAACACACCCATGGGCCAGTGCCTTTTTTGGGTTGAGGGTGTTATCCAAACAGTTACTGATGGGGAATTCTAATTGGTGGATTGAAGCCAAGCAGGCATGAGTTAAGGAGGTCATGCTGTGCCTGAGAGGTGGTCACTGCAGCACATCTGCATAGTCCCTGGTGGGTACGCAGGTCAATTGGGCCAGTCAGGTAGGCTGCGTCTAGGTGTTCATAGGGAGGTGGTTGCCAGGAGGAAGTTGGGTAAGACAGATACCTGGATCAACCACATTTAAGAACTGGGAGATGGAGTAGGGTGTAGAACTGGAAACTAGTCATGCAAGTTTGACTTTCTTATACCAGTCAAATTTATATTTAAAATGGATGCCAAAGCAACATAAATAAGAACACACTACACAGTGATACTACCTTTTTCTTTCTTTGTTGTACTTCCTCTTAGTTAGTCAGTACCCTGTTTTGATTATCCATTTTTGTAAAATGTCACATGGATTATCCTGGGAGACCAGGAGGCAACATCTTTATACACTTAGCTGTCTGTTTATGAACTGAATAATAGATGCACATTGACCAATCACCGACAGCCTTGACAGAAATGACAGTGATTATGATGTGCATGGTGCTTTATGGACCAAAGAACCAAAGCAAAGTTTGTTTATGCTGTTACTTAGCATATGGTAGCTTAAATTTGAACTGTGTTTTTGGGGACTGGTGTTATTTAACTAAAGTGTAGTAACTGAAATTCATGTATTTTGAAACCATACAAAGAGAGGACTGACTATATGAAATCTCTAAAAGGACGTAGTGAGGCCATTGCCACTATAACAAATACCCAAGGCCAGGTGCAGTGGCTCACAACTGTAATCCCAGCACTTTGGGAGGCCAAGGCAGGTGGATCTCCTGAGGTCAGAAGTTCAAAATCAGCCTGGCCAACATGGTGAAACCCCATCTCTACTAAAAATACAAAAAATCAGCTGGGTGTGGTGGTGGGCACCTGTAATTTCAGCTACTCAGGAGGCTAAGGCAGGAGAATCGCTTGAACCTTGGAGGTGGAGATTATAGTGAGCTGAGATCATGCCATTGCACACCAGCCTGGGCAACGAGAGTGAAACTCCGTCTCAAAAAAAAAAAAAACCTAAAACACTGAGAATATCCAAATTCTTTTCCACATCAGGATGTTTTATTAGGCCAACTGAAGAACAATTCAGATTAAAGAAATTTAAAACGCCTCACCTTCAGATACAGACCAAAATAAAAACCAGTGTATTAAGAGGTTAGATATTTACAATAAATAAAATTATTGAATAACTAAAAGAAAATAGAGTAAAATTAAATTGTATTAAGTCTCTGGAGATACCAGGATTTTTGAAAAATTGGCTCATTTTATTATATAGAAATTTTAAGTATGTATATGTGTGTGTATCACACACAGGACAAGAACAAACAACATCCAGTATTTATTTAATGATATCAATGTTATTATTTATTTTAATATTATTTATGGGAGGCTAAATAGTAAATATTTAATCATCTTAAATATCCGTAAGATTAATTATAAATAATCTGTTTAAATAATATTTGTTATGTAATAATAATTCTTGTTGTTTAGTTACTAAAAACCTTTTTGTTTGCTGGTTTTCTCCTGAATTATTTCTACATTCTTTTGTTCATACATAGACTAATAATTACCTACAAGATTTATATATTTTTTTTAATATTAAATATATTAAACTTCAAGGGAGAGCTCCCACTTTCTGTAGTTATTTTTCCAAGTTAGATTTTATTGTCTAGCATATGTAATAAGCTTTTTATTAAATCCTGTTGTATTTTTCAGGGGGGAAAGAAAACCCAAGATTGATTTGTTTAGAACTTGTATTGCTGCGATTCCAAGGTTGATTCCTGATGGTATGAGCAGAACTGACCTCATTGAATTGTTAGCAAGGTAAATGAGAATTACTGTTTGCAATGTTAAGTTTTATGCCTTCTGCTCCTTTATATTTCCAATATACCTTTGTTACTGTTATCACTAAAAAGGCGATGATGAAGACATTTCTAATCCTTCATCTGATTTACTTTCTAAACTTCCATCTTGTCTTTCTTGTTGTTAAACACATTTTTCTCACTAACTTTTCACTTCTCGAGTTCTTCTAGATTCCTCCACACTATATTCCCCCAAAAATAGTTCCCTATTTTTCCATCTAGTATTCTTTCCTGGATTTCTGTTACCACATTATCCCTTAACATATGGGCATTATCAGTGTATCATAATTCCCAGTTAGGCAATTAATGATTTTGCTTACTCTTACAGTCATTTCTTTAGCATCTCTGGTGATAATCAGGTCTCATTCGTGCTTTTTTTTTTTCCCCTATGGCAGAACTGTGGCATTCAAGTTTTTCTCTCTCTTCTGTTAGGCATATCATAGCTCCATAAAATGAGTAAATAACCTGACAACCAGACTTACATACTAGTTCCTAATTCTAAGTAGAGGCGATAGCCTGTTGAAAAACTGCTTTTCTGATGTAGTTTGGGATTCCCTAGATAGGGATCGGCACATTTTTCTGTAAAGTACCAGATAGTATTTTAGGGTTTTGCAGGTCATTATGATCTTTGTAATGGGTCCAATTACACAGTTTGATAGAAGTAAGACCTAGTGTTCAGTAGATCAGTAGAGTGACTATAGTTTACAATAATCTGCTGTACATTTCAAAATAGCTAGAAAAGAATAAAGTTTTCTAACATAAAAAAAAGACAAGTATTTATGGTGATAGATATCCTCATTACACTGACTCGATCTTTACAAATTGTATGTATGCATTAAATTATCACATCTACCCCAAAAGTATGTACAACTATTATTTATCAATAAAACAAGCAAACATATATTCATCTCTGACATTGTAGTACAAAAGCAGACATAGACAATAGGTAAAGAGGGGCACAGGACTGCATTCCAGTAAACATCTGGCTGGATTTAGCCCTTGAGCCACAGTTTGCCAGCCCTGTCCTAGATGAAAAAAACAAATATAATGACTATAGCAGAGCAGCGATACTTGGAGACATTGAAAGGTGTTCACTTGTTGCTGGGCATTTATCACTTAGGCATATGTTAAATTTATGATAAAGAAATAATTAATAGACTGTTCCAGCAACCCCTTCTCCCCACTTGCCTAGCTTTTCACACACCCTGGCACTACCTTATCCTCATCTGTTGTCTGTTGTGATCAGAGATTCTATGTCTCCTGTGATGATTATGAAAGAAAGGGGTTCCTTTGCATCACATAAATTTGTTCCCTTCCCACACTGTCTCCTAATTTTTCTGTGAATCAAATTGCAGAGTTACAAAGTTCATGTCAGCACTGGAAATAAGAACCATTAATTATTTATAACACTGTTTCTTGGGAGAGCAGTAAACACCTACTGTTCAATTCTGCTCTTACTCCTCCTGCCACAACATAACTCATCTACGTCTTTGTGGTTGTTGATCCGTAAGAGTAGATCTCCCATGTTTCCACCAAAATGAAACTGCAAGTATGAGGGACAGGGATGGGACAGCCTAGGAAAAGAACAGACAGCTAAACAGTGAATGACAATTTGCTTTGCTGTTCACTTTGCTTCTTTCTCCTATGATATTTGTTTACTAATTAATTTACCTCAGTGGAAAGGAAGAACATAGGGTCTGTTCTAATCTCTCCTCTCTTCATATCATTTGGAATTGTGCTATCTAAATCTTATTTACTTTAACATAAAGCAACCAAACAAACAAAACAAAGATGCATTGTAAATTTGCAGACCTGTATGTTGTCCCTAAGGAAAGTTAATTAATTCCCCTGCCTTTAATTAGCCAAGCTTTATTGTTATTCTACTGTGTACCATGAGCAGTTAACTCACACATATATACCCTGTATCACACAGATAGGAATAAGGTAGATATTTACATATTCATAGATTTAAGCAATGTTGAAATAACCTTTAAAGTCAGTATCATTGAGGACTGTCACTTTCCTCTCCCATATTGTATCTCATGGTGCCACTATTAGAGACAGAATACTGGTCCAGGGATGCTTAATTTGACTCATTATTTCTCATGTGCTGATGGAACTGCTGCTTGCTTTGTTGCTTATTCCTCAGTCTGTCTAGCTACAATACATCTTCTCTTTAGTCTCATTGTCAGTTGAAGGTTGGCTTAGTGATGACTAGAACTGAGTTCAGCAGAGTGAACACTGATATCTCCTTTCTCTTAAACCACACAACTTTCTGCATCTGTCATGGATAACTACATTTTTCCAGCTTTCCAAGCATGTAATTGTCTGTGTGTTTAATATTATGAACTTATCTTTTTCATTCAGACTATTTCTAACTCTGATGAATTTCTTTGTGTCAATTACCTAATTCTCTTCAGCCTCAAATCAGAAACTCTTTATTCATATAATATTATTATATAATGGTGGCTTCCATTGCTGCAACCATTTTTTTTTTAATGTTCTTATTTATCATTCTCTTTTATGTTCTGGTAAAATTCTGTAACTAAAATTATATTCAGAGCCCTATATTGTTTAAAAACTAATTTTATATAGCCTCTTTCCTAATTTGTTTACACTTAAACTCTCTTTAGGACCTTATGTGCTGAGTCAACACACACACACACACACACACACACACACACACACACACACACATTTTGAGATGGTGTCTTGCTCTATTGCCCAGGCTAGAGTACAGTGGCACAATCTCAGCTCACTGTTACTTCTGCCTCCCAGGATGAAGCGATTCTCCTACCTCAGTCTCCTGAGTAGCTAGGATTACAGGCGTGCACCACCATGCCCGGCTAATTTTTTTGTAGTTTTAGTAGAGATGGGATTTCACCATGTTGACCAGGCTGGTTCGAACTCCTGACCTCAAGTGATCTGCCCACCCTGGCCTCCCAAAGTGCTGAGATTATAGGCGTGAGCCACTGCACCTAGCCTTATTTTTTTTTCTAGGCATATGCCATTTTTTCATATCATATGCCATTTATGATGTTATTGCTAAATTTACTCTCATTCTGTACTTCAAGAATTATTCTATTACACTAATTCCATTTAATTTGTTGCATATCCTTCTTCACAATCAGCCATCTTATATTTAACTGTAACTTCAGTGATTGAAGAATAAAGAATGATTGAGATAAATCATGTCCTTAACAGTGATAGCAAAGGATTAAATAGATGTGAAGATAGTGCTAAGATGTCATATGATTAGATACAATTTTTGATTGATTATAGGATAACAATACAGTATCTAAGGATAAAAGGATTTTAAATGGAATTCTAATGTCATTTGTATCACACTTATTCAGATTATAGTAAAAACACCAACTAATAGGAATAGATTCATATGTGAATTTAAACAGATGAGAGTATAAACTAGCATAACGTTGAATATAGCAGGAAAAAGTGAACATTGGTTGCTATCTTCATATTTCTTACAAAACAAGAGGACACATATTTTAAGGTCACAGTTTTCAGTTTTAGATAATAAAACTAATTGAAAGGTATTGAAGTTTGCTAATGGAATTTTGTTCTTGGTAGGCTCACAATTCATATGGATGAAGAACTGCGTGCTCTGGCTTTCAATACTCTGCAGGCACTAATGCTTGATTTTCCAGATTGGCGGGAGGATGTTCTTTCAGGATTTGTTTATTTTATTGTTCGTGAAGTGACTGATATCCATCCCACGCTTCTTGATAATGCTGTAAAGATGTTGGTACAATTAATAAATCAGTGGAAACAAGCAGCCCAAATGCATAATAAAAACCAGGACTCACAGGTACCAGATTCTTTTCTATTGTCCCTTTGTATGTGGTCAGTGCTAAATGACCAGTAATGGTTTTAATACAGATTGACTTTATCAAACACTAAGAGTATTATTAGTTCTATTCACTCTGTGTTCCTAATCCCTTAGAACTGAAATTTCCCATAGTTCATGTAGTAAATATATAGCATGTGTGTGCCTGACTTTTCTAATGCTCTTTGGTTAACAATTAGATTTTAATGAGCATAGAAATTAGAGATAATTCCAGCTCACTTTTACGTTGTGTCCAATATATTTAAAGCCAATACAATAAATTTTTGGTAGTCTTCCATTTGCGTTATTTGATTGTTTTATCCATGTCACCAGTCCCTGTTTCGAATAGACAGTATCTGCCCCCCTCAAGCATAAAAGATACTCAAATCATTGATTTATGATAATGTGTAAATCATAGAACCCCTTGGGATTTTAGACCCAGGCCATTGAAGCCAACCTAGCTTCTCAACCTTTAATGAGCATACAAATCAACAGGGCACTAAAAAGAGTGTCTTAGAAGCTCTCAGGTGTTGCCAGGCTGCTGGTCCATACTCTGAGTGTGAAAGACACACTATAAGCCCCTCATTTCCCACATAGAAATTAGAAGAGCAATTGTCAGTTCCAAGGTTACAAAATAGAGAATGATCGAAGTTAGGTACAGAATTCATATTTAGACTGCCAATAAAATGTTCTTTTCACTGTGCACACTATTCCATGTTTATAAGTTACATACTATTTAAATTGCTTGAGCCGAGGCAGACCTGTATTCATAGTTACTGTGGTTTGCTTTACTCTTATTGTTTTTCTGGAATGTCTGTATATACTTATTTTTTATTTTACTTTTAACTTCTATTTTTTAAGCATGGTGTAGCTAATGGAGCTTCTCATCCCCCTCCTCTGGAAAGGAGCCCGTATTCCAGTGTATTCCATGTGGTTGAAGGCTTTGCACTTGTCATTCTCTGTAGCAGTCGACCTGCCACTAGGAGACTAGCCGTCAGTGTCCTTAGAGAAATACGGGCTTTATTTGCACTTTTGGAAATACCTAAGGTAAGATTTAGGTATTTCATTCAGTTATCTAATGAAAGTACTGAAAAACCATCTCTTTGTCCGTCCTGATCCCAAGTAGGTAGGTTACTACCATGGGTCTAAACTAACCTGTTACTCAATTCCATTTGTAACAAATAGTGCTGAAGTGTATTTTCAGTGTTTATTTGGGTTTTATACCTTGCTTAAACATTCCTAATTTTTTTAGACATATGATGTCTTTTTTACAGGGTGATGATGAATTAGCCATAGATGTGATGGACAGGCTAAGCCCATCCATTCTTGAGAGCTTCATACATCTCACTGGGGCTGATCAGGTAACTATAGTGACTTCATGCTAGCCAGTCTTGTTTTGAGACTTAAGACAGACACATATACATACACATACACATGCACACATAAAAGAACTTCCTTAACAAATGTAATGTGCTAGAAAGTATTTTTGAACACTAGAAAATGCTCAAGAGTAATACTTAAAAAGTGACATCCATTTATACTTGGTTAAGTACTCTTCCATATACAAATAAAAATAGTTTCATGTTTGTAAAATTGTAATCCTTCGAATCTAAGAAGTTTCCATTAAATTGAATGTTACTTTATGCTACTGTTCGGTATTTATTATGGCATATATTATTCTTGACATAGAAATACTTGTTAAAATGCTGTGGGGAAAAAAGTAGTGATACTCAAAGCAAAAACTTATACCCTGCCTTTTTGGTGACTACTTTTTGTTTATCACATGAGTTTGACTATAGTGGATTAAGTACATAGTGTTTTATACCAGTCTCATATGTAATTTGACTCATTAAAATGGAGAGAAACATTTTGTCCACAAACACATTACCGAGAAAGTTTATGCAAACTTTCTTGCTTGGTCTTGGTGTGGTAAAAGGTCATATATTAAGATTCCAAAGTTGGTGTAAGAATAGCTATAAAACCTTACTACTTAAAAATTCTTTCCTCCTGTTTTAGAATACATGGACAAGAGGTTAATGCATAACAGTAAGAGCTTTCTGCATAATGCTAAGAGCTTTCTGCATAACACCTGATTCTTATAATTCATGAGTTATATACAACCAAGGGAAGTAATAAGATTTGTTTTTTTTTTTTGAGACGGAGTCTTACTGTGTCCCCCAGGCTGGAGTGCAGTGCCACAATCTGGGCTCACTGCAACCTCTGCCTCCGGGGTTCAAGCTGGGACTACAGGCGCATGCCACCACGCCCAGCTAACTTTTTGTATTTTCAGTAGAGACAGGGTTTTACCACGTTAGCCAGGATGGTCTTGATCTCCTGACCTCATGATTTGCCCGCCTTGGCCTCCCAAAGTGCTGGGATTACAGGCATGAGCCACCTTGCCCAGCTGGTAATAAGATTTTATAAGCCTAAAAGATGATTAGAAATCTGTACAATTCCCCTCCCCAATGATGCTAAACTTTTTAAAAATTTAATTTTTATTTACTTTTAAATGGACACAATTGTGCATATTTATGGGGTACAATTTGATGTTTTGATGCATGTCTATATTGTATAATGATCCAATCAGGGTAGTTAGTGTATCCATCATCTTATGTATTATCATTTATTTGTGGTAAGAACCTTTGAAAGCCTCTCTTCTAACTATTTTATGAATAGATCTGCATAATTTAAAGCATTTTGTTTTAGATATTAATCATAAATTAACTTATGAATTATTCCAAAAAGAGAGTAACGGATGACTTGTTTCTAATGCCTAAACCACTGCTTAATACACGTATTTTTCACAGAACATAAATGTGTATCTCTTTAGTATAAGAGTTCAAATATTGAACAAGTACTTCAGAATATATACCTCTGGAGAAGAGCTCATGTTTGAGTCTGTTCCACACATACATAGATACAGGTCAACATGAAAGTTAATGGTTCACTTCTTAGGTGTCTAGGAGCTTTCAGTATACCGTGACGGATTTGGATATTTATTTAAGAATTACTTAAATTGTGGTCCTGAACTTCTTTGATTTGTATATCCTTTTGAGAATAATGAAAATAGTGGAATCCGTCTCCAAAAAAAATGCACATACACAAACTTTACATACAATTTCAGGAATTCTCTACTCCCTTCAACCTACCGTGGACTTTATATTACCTTGCTTTAGAAACTGCTAATAGACCATTTTCAGTTTAGAGCAATATATGGCACAATTTTCAGTTACTGAAATGTGTAATAATCAATTTTTTTCCTCTCCATGTAGACCACTTTGCTCTATTGCCCTAGCTCGATAGATTTACAGACATTAGCAGAATGGAACTCTTCTCCAATTAGCCACCAGTTTGATGTGATTAGTCCTTCACACATATGGATATTTGCACATGTGACCCAAGGCCAAGACCCATGGATTATAAGTCTCTCCAGTTTTTTAAAGCAAGAAAATCTTCCTAAACACTGCTCTACAGCTGTGAGCTATGCTTGGATGTTTGCATACACAAGACTTCAGTTGTTGTCCCCTCAGGTCGATATAAAGTAAGTTATTTTCCTGGTTTAAATTTAAAAACGCATAGACTGTCAGCTTTCATAATGTGTTTATTTTAAAGATACAGAAGTATTATGGATTGGAAGGCCCATAAATAATATGCGATACTGTACGTAATCATGTCTTAAGGAGGGAGGAGAATGTTGTCAAGGACATAGTCTCATAACTACTTCTTCCTTTTCATGTAATTCAGTCTCACCAAATTTTAATTGTTAGTTTACTTAATAACACTGTGCTTGGTACATAGTTGTGTCCAACAAATCTGTGTTAAGGGAAGAAATTAGGAAAGGTTCTGAAGATGAATATGGATGTAGATATAGAAGTTAGATAAAGGGTGAGAAGCAGAGCGAAACTCAGCTCAGCAGCCTTACTTTTCCTGATGACAGCATAAGGAAGGCCACCTCCTGGTGGCTAGTGGTAATAACGCATTGAGTAGTAGATTTGAGGGTGTTGGTAAAGATTTGGAGTAACGGATGATGAAATGGAGAGTTGACCAAGGTCATTATAAATTTCAGTTAATTTCTGTTTGCTCTTAAATACACAGGATAATTTTTGAATCTGGGTTTGGGTTCCTGACTACCCCATTGATCACATTGAATGGAATGAGTCCTCTGAGCCTATACTTGCCCACACAAACCCTGGATTGACCTATCTGGATTGACCTATCACTTGAGGCCCACATTAAAAGCTCTTCAAACCTAACTCCGCTCTGTGCCTTTTTTCCTAACTTTCTATCAAAACCTTTAATGTTGGAACCAAATTATCCTCTCAAACTTTATTACGTGTGGTTAACAGTTTCCATTTTGTGAGCTTTTGTTCTCATAACGCACAGGATACCTCTTTTTTCTTTTTGCATATCCATATATGATATAGCTCAAATTCAGTCGTACTTTTTAAAATCTCTTAAACGTCCTACCCAGAGTAGTCATTCTTACTTTTGGATTTGAATATACGTATTTATTTGGTATTTATACATATACATGCTAATTGTTTATGTATGTTCTCAGGTATTGTGTATTGGATTTCTTTTTTGTTTTGTTTTCTTTTTCTTTCTTCCTTTTTTTTTTAAAAAAAAGACAGGGCCTCTCTCTGTAACTTTGGCTGGAATGCAGGGGTGTAATCATAGCACATTGCAAACTCGAACTCCTAGGCTCAAGCAGTCCTCCCACTTCAGCCTCCCAAAGTGCTAGGATTACAGGTGTGAGCTGCCACACCTGGTCTGGATGTTACTTTTTAAATAAAGATTGGCAGCCAGGCGCGGTGGCTCAAGCCTGTAATCCCAGCACTTTGGGAGGCCGAGGCGGGTGGATCATGAGGTCAAGAGATCGAGACCATCCTGGTCAACATGGTGAAACCCCGTCTCTACTAAA